CGAGATGCGTCAGACGGGCAGCCCACCGCCTCTGGAGAGGACAGAAGTGACTGGAGCGGCGCTGCCGGGCAGCAGTGTGGCCCTTGCAGCCGCAGTAACGGCACACACTGGGGGGCTCTTCCCATCTGCTCTCAAACACCCACCTCCGGCCCTGGAGGGGACCAGCTGGTCCCTGAAGGACTCCTCATGATGCAGGGAGAAAACCTGACCTCGGGTGGGTGACCGCCAAATGATACAGGGAACCTCCAAATGACACAGGGAAAAATGATCTCCCGACCTGACCTTGACGAGTTTGTGTTCTCTAAAACTGAAGAATGAATTTTAGGAACAAACGGAGGTTATGAGCAGAATAGATTTATTGAGGGAAAGAAAGCTCCTGTCCGAGAGAGGAACAGGAGGGGGCCCTGAGCAGTCAGTTCCCCCGGGAAGCTGTCTCTTCCAGGGACTTTTATAGAGGAAAACTATTTGGTGAGGCCGGTCTAAGGTAGGGGTGAACATGGGAACTCACTTAGGTGGGCATTAGGTAGGACAGAACTGTGGTCAACCAATGAGATTACAAGTACCATTGCTCAGGTAGAATTGATTAAGTCCAGGACCAAATGGGAAAGCGAGTCACGTAGCAGGCAGGCATGACTACCAGACAGGGTCTCTTCTTGTTGGGGTTGGGATAGTGACTCACTTGGGCTCTTTCAAGGTGATTGATACCTATTTAGGATATCAATCCCTGATGCGCGTCCCTAGGGAAGTATGTAGCTGTGTTTCCTTTTTTGTCTTGAGGTGTGGCCCATAGGGAGTGTCTGTCTCTTCCAAGTTGCAAAGTCACCTTGTCTTCCATCTTGTCTCCTTGCCTGGCCCTGTCTGACTGCCTAGAATATTTCTGTCTAATTCAGCGGCCTGCAACACTCACACTTGGCGGTGCGCAGGAGGCAGCACCAGGCTCGCCGCAGTTCCCCCTGCTTGGGTTGTGAGCTCTCGGCTCCCTGCTGGAGCAGGAGGCTATGTGCGGTGGGATCCAGGTCAAGTCCTGCTTCCACAGGTCACTCTGTATTTTCTACCCAATTCACCTGCCTTCCTGCCTCAGCCTCTGAGGAGGGCCTGGTCACACAGGGGCTGGGTCCTGCTCTCCCACATTGGGGTGGGGACTCGGAGACCATGCTGGTCTGCTTCTTCCCTTCTGGGTGGCACTGCCAACATCCTCTTCTTTACCCCCCCACCAGCTTTGAGTTTATTAAAAACACCCAGAGGAGCGCGTGAGAAGTGTGTGTTCTACACCTTGCTGTCGCTCTGGCCTAGGCTGCAGCGTGCAGTGCCCCCCATGCAGCGCAATCCTACTTCCAGGACAGTCCCTGCGGCTCCCTGTGCCCTGGTCCCTCTAGGACTACACCTCTGCCCCTCTAGCTTTGCAGCTCTAGGCCGTGCTGGCCCTGACTCCAACCATGACCCCTGGGGCCCAGGCAGGTCCCAGCATCCCGTGTGGGGCTCCTCTCTGGTCCCCATGTCCGGAGGCTGCTGCACAGTGTTTGCTGAGTCAGGGTCCGTGTGGACTCTTACCTTCTCTCTGCTTCCTCTGTCAGGAGTGATTATGCTCTTAATAAAATGGGATTATTCTCTTTCAAATAGAAATGCAAGTCTCGAAGCTTTATTTTATTTTATTTTATTCTACTTAGTTTAGTTTTTTTTTTTTCTTTTGGTGGAACCGGGGATTGAACTCAAGACACTGGCACTTGCCAGGAAGTGCTTATTTTATTGAGCCATCTCCCTGGTCCCAAATAGGTCAACATTTTTTTCTTTTTCCGAAACCAGGGATTGAACTCAGGCTCTTGTGCTTGCCAGGCAAGTGCTTAGTCTACTGAGCTATCTCCCCGGCCCCACAAAGCTTTAATTTTTAAAGTCAAAGATTCAGGTAAATTACCTTTTGCAATTTCAAAACAACAGCAACAACGAAACAACCCATTGAAATTAGATTTAAATACTTTATGTCATTTAATTGATTTTTTTCCCATTCTAAAGGTTGTTAAATGACAAAATTCCCCCTAACCCCAGAGGAAGGTGTAATTATCACCGCCTCATGAATGACCCCCGGGAAGCCTTTGAAGTGCAACTATTTAAATACATTAAAGGTAAATCTTTTTAATCTCAATGATAAAGATTAAAATTTCTCAGAGGCCCGCAAAGCTTTCTTTCTCTTCTGAACAAATGTAGGTGACTTCAGATCATTCCCGGGGCTCTTAGCTAAGATCAAATGCAGGGCAAATTCAGGGTCTGCCGGGACAGCAGAGGGAGACGCTGTCTCAGAAAAAGTTAAACAAGTAAATAGAAACTTTAGGGGACTGGGAGACAGCTCAGCAGCATAAAAGGCTGCCTGGCATGGGCAAAGTCCAAAGTTCAATCCTCGGCACCACCACC